TTTTTTCACCACAAAATTAATGGTTGGGAAGATAAGACAGGATAACTGCACACTGTCTTTTTTTTGGGAAATACTGAAAGCTGCCCACTCTCACAATGCCCAGATCTTGCTGCCTAATTCAGGGCAAGCAATGGAAGCTGTATGGCAGAACAGAAAAAGGAGGTAACACATTTCTTCCTCACTTTTTTCCCTTTTTTTTTGTTGGTAGTGAACTGATTGTTGGTTGAAAGCTGTGCTTTCTCCTCCTGCTGAGAGGGAAGGAGGCAGAAATACCCCAACCTTAGTTTTTCTCTTAGATTTCAGATATGAGGAATTTGGCTGTAATACCGTTCCCACCCCCCACCCCCCGGCCATGAAGCCTCAAACCAAGTTTTAGCTAATGGAAGAACAAAACTTTAGTTAGCAGGGTAAATATTGGGGATTAGCCTGGTCTCAAGGACTTGCCTAACATTGTTTAAGATCTTGTTTTTTAGTCTCCAGTCTCAAAACATTTGTTCTTCGATTTACCACAGCTTCTGGAAATTTCTCAGCAATTGGCTTGCCAGCTTGAGCAACTGGTGCTGATGTATGCTTCTTTCAGCTTTGTTTCTCTTGAAGACACAGACCCATTCAGGTACAAAGCATCCGTTAGGGAAAGGTTAGCTCTATGTACGTAGTGCGATTTATTTATTTATTTAAATTTGTATAGCTGTCCGTCTCAATTATATGACCCTGGGCAGCTTACAAGTCAAAACAGCAACAACAAACATTCAAATAAATAAAAATTAAAACAAATAAAAATTGTTAAAACAAATTAGCCAATGCAAGATGATGCAAGGCTAGACAAAAAATGTTTCAGAAGTGATCTTTGCTAATCATTCAAATGTGTAGAATTGGAGAAAATAGCCTTCCAAATAAAACCAAGATTTGGCACGTGCCACAAAGTACACATTTATAGTGTATTTTTGCTCCCTGAAGTACTCTTAGACAGAAAATTGAACAGCTTTTTAAAGTTTGCCTAAATATTCTTTTTGAAAATGTCTAAATCTAGGATGATCCTATTCCATTTTCAGGAATACTGAAAAGAAGCCTAAGGTTCCATTATGTTTTGATAACTTAGGTTCACATTCATAATTTTTCTTCAAAAGCTACTGGTTTATTTATTATTGTGAGAGCAAGAGGACTTGGCTCTTGGTTTCGAACCTGCCTATTGTCTCAACTTTCTTCTTCTGTACACACACAAACATATCTGTCACTCCGTATTTGTCTCAAAATCTCCACCAGCATATCGTGTTTCTTCTGTGGGAAATTTTGGATGAATGAGACTCGGCAACTTTCTATCTTTCGATACTGTATCTCAGCACCATACACAGCTGCTCATATTCCTCACAATCTTTATAAGAAGATGCGCTGGAACCTGGACATCTTGGAAGGTTCTGCTGCTCGGAATCAAACACTCCGGACAGAATAGTGAGTTGCTGTATATACTGAGGTTATTTATTTTATTTGTATTTATTTATTAAATTTATATCCTACCCATCTCACTGATAGGGCCACTTTGGGTGGTTTACAAACAGTAAAAGGATAAATATACAAACAGTTAAAGTTTTAAAAAGCTACATAAAAAACTAGAACCAAGAAGATGGACAGCACAGGGATAAGATCTTCATCTTACCCCATGAACTATCTCCAGTGGTGAGCAACTGGAAAAAGCAGGTTTTGGTACTCTTCTGGAAGGCTTAAAGGGTGGGAGCAGTTCTTGCCTCCAGTGGTAGAATGTGTGTGTGTGTGGGGGGGGGTATCACAGTAGAAAAGGCTCTTCATCTTGAGCCTACCAGCTGGGATTCTTTAGCAGGTGGTTTCTGTGATAGGCTCCTTCCGCTGAAGTGAATAGGGTAGGCAAGTCCCATTGGGGATACCCTGGACCCATGCACAAAGGGCTTTAAAGGTAAAAACCAATACCTTGAACTGGACCCAGAAACAAACTGCAGCCCACGCAATAGTGGTATTGTAGGTGCCACCCTAGGGTCCCCAGAACTATCTGCTGCTGCATTCCAGACTTGCTATAGCTTCCAAACAGTCTTTAAGCATAGCCTCATGTAAAATGCATGACAGCAATCCAACCGAGAGATAGCCAGGACATGAGTGACTTCCACAGGGCCTCATAATCCAGATAAAGGCATGACTGATCCACAACATGAAGTTGTGCAAAGGTCCTTCTAGCCACGACTTCCATGTGGTCTTTGAGCAGGAGTCATGAGTCTAGTACAGTGGTGGTGAACCTATGGCACGCGTGCCACAGGTGGCACGCAGAGCCCTCTCTGTGGGCACGCATGCCATCGCCCCAGTCCTAGGCCTTTAGCTGGGTTTTATAAAACCTTTTGGCTTTAGACCTCTGCTGCCATGTGCAAAAAAAAAAAAGGTTCAATCAATCAATCAATCAATTGCAACTTCTCGCATAAAAAAAACATCTCGCAAAGTTGGAATTGATTGATTGAACTTTTTAGTCCCACCCAGTCTGCCGTTACCACCGAAGCCATGCCCACCCAATAGGCCACACCCACCCGGCATCCGACAATACATAAGTGGGTTTTGAGTTGCAGTTTGGGCACTTGGTCTCTAAAAAGGTTTGCCATCGCTGGTCTAGGACAGTGGTGGCGAACCTATGGCACGGGTGCCAGAGGCGGCACTCAGAGCGTTCTCTGTGGGCACGCGTGCCATCCCCCCAGTCCTAGGCCTTCAGCTGGGTTTTATAAAACCTTTTTGCTTTAGGTCTCCGCCGCTGTGTGCAAAAAAAAAAGAGGTTCAATCAATCAGTCAATTTCAACTTCTCGTGGAAAAAAAAAAGATCTTGCAAAGTTGGAATTGATTAATTGAAATTTTTAGTCCCATCCAGTCTGCTGTTACCACCGCAGCCATGCCGACCCAATGGGCTACATCCACCCAATGAGCCATGCCCACCCAATTGGCCACACCCACCTGGCACCCGACGATGCATAAGTGGGTTTTGGGTTGCAGTTTGGGCACTCGGTCTCTAAAAGGTTCGCCATCACTGGTCTAGGAGAATCCTCAGGTTACACACCAGGTCTATCTGGGAGAGTGCAATCCCATCCAGAACTAAAGATGATAACCCGGATCCCAAAGCCCCTTGACCCACAGCACTCCATTTCACCAGAGTTCAGTTGCAGCCTGTTGTCCCCCATTCAGACTCCCACAACCTCGATGCACTGCAAAAGGGCAGCCACAGGATCACTTGAATCATCAGGGATGGAGATGCAGAGCTGATTATCATCTGCATACTGATATCCCATCATACGATGTTGGATAATCTCATCCAGCAGTGAGATATGACCCCTGTGGGACTTGTGGGGTCCCACAGGGGTCGGTCCTCTCTCCGCTCCTGTTCAATATTTATGTGAAGCCGCTGGGGGAGATCATTCGTGGCTTCGGGGTGGATTTCCATCAGTACGCTGATGACACTCAGTTGTACATATCCACCCCGGGCCCCCCTAACGATGCCCTTGACGTGATGACCCGGTGCCTGGAGGCCATGAGGGTCTGGATGGGGAGGAACAGACTCAGGCTCAACCCATCCAAGACCGAGTGGCTGTGGTTACCGGCGCCTCGGCATAGTCAGCTGATTCCATCGCTGACTATAGGGGGCGAAACATTGGCTCCCTCAGATCGGGTACGCAACTTGGGTGTCCTCCTGGATTCGCGGCTGACACTGGATGATCAGTTGGCGGCCGTNATTTCTTTTTAATTAATTTTAAATTTGTAATTGTCATTTATGTATTTTAACTGATTGTCAGCCGCCCTGAGTCCGCGAGGAGAAGGGCGGGATATAAATTTAAATATAATAATAATAATAATAATAATAATAATAATAATAATAATAATAATAATAATAATAATAATAATAATAATAATAATAATAATAATAATAATAATAATAATAATAATAATAATAATAATAATAATAATAATATATGGGGAGGGTAGATATGACCTGGCTAGGCAGATCATTTAACAACATTTTTCCCTTTCCATACCTCTGATGATGAAAGAATGGTGTCATTCCAAAGCTACTCCATATTATATCAATGTAATTCTTTCTTTGGTCTTAACTAATGTTTATTTCTTGAGTTTCCCAGAGGCTATTTGATCAGCCAACCACTTCACTGCTTCCATGCAATCTTGTCCTTGTGTTATAGCTACTTCCTATGCTTCCGTGATACAGGAGATGAAACAACTGTGAAAATGCAGAAGCTTTGGTCCATAGGACGCTGGGTGCCTTTAGATCCGGACAGTGAACACAGTTCTGATGTGCTATCCTGGTAGGTGTACAGAACTAGAGATAGGACATTGGCATAACACTTACACAGACTGATTTAATGTAATGGTGTAATGGTTAAGGCATCAGGTTGGAAACTGGGACACTGTGGATTCTAGTCCCACTTTGAGCAACTGGATGATCTGGGTCAGTCACTTTCTCTAGCTCGAGGAAGGAAGCAATGGCAAACTATTTCTGGAAAACCTTGCCAAGAAAACTGCAGGAACATGTCCAGGCAGTTTCCAAAAATCTGATTAAATGGAAGAAAAAAATGCAAATAGTTTCTCAGCTGAAACTGTGGTTGAATTTGTTTGTGTGTTGTGAGATTGAGTTGTCATGCCTTCTGCTAACTGATGTTCATGGATGTACTCTGCTGATCTTCTGCCAGTATGTCCTACATCAGTGGTGGCGAACCTGTGGCACGGGTGCCAGAGCCGGCACTCAGAGCCCTCTCTGTGGGCACGCATGCCATCGCCCCAGTCCTAGGTCTTCAGCTGGGTTTTATAAAATCTTTTCCCTTTAGGCCTCTGCCACCATGTACAAAAAAAAAGATTCAATCAATCAATTTCAACTTCTCCTGGGGAAAAAAAAGATCTTGCAAAGTTGGAATTGATTGATTGAACTTTTTAGTCCCACCCAGTCTGCTGTTACCACCGCAGCCATGCCCACCCAATGGGCCACACCCACCCAGCACCCGATGATGCATAAGTGGGTTTTGGGTTGCAGTTTGGGCACTCGATCTCTAAAAGGTTTGCCATCACTGTCCTACATAGTGGCTGTTACAGTCCTTACATTGTATGTTGTAGATGACTCCTGTTTTTTCTTCTTAGATTACTGGATCTCTTGGTTTACTTAAGATTTTTCAAAGGACTTTAATTGATTTGTGTGCTATTGTGATGTGAAGTGACTGTAGTATTCTGTTGGTTGTCTCCAAGATGTTTTTGATATACAGGAGTGTTATCCTTTTCATAGGTTGTGCTGCAACAGGTTGTCTGGTCAGGGGCTTTTGGAAAAAAATTGCCTGAGTCTTCAGTCTGTTAGAAGATTTTGTCCAGGTGATCTGCTTCCTCTTACTGGGTAGCTGCAGTGTGCTTGTACTTATCTAAATAATATTCTTATACTTATCTAAATAATATTCTTATACAACTTCTCTTGAGGGAATTGCTTTGGTAGTATTGATAGTGTTTCAAAAGACTGCCCTAGCATAGACGGTTGAAGTAATAGGTTCTTTTACTAAAGTTAAACGGTTGTAGCGAAAGTAAAGCTAGATCTGAATATTCCTGTGCAAATGTGACACTTTCCCCCCTTTTCCCAGCCCTCCCACCCTTGACCAGTCCATCAGTGTCCAAAAAAGATGCTTTTATGATGTTTTATTAATGGCTCGGAGCTTGGCTCAATGCAGTTTCACATTCGGTTCCCAGGCCAGGTGTCCTTGGAGGCTGATTTATTCCAGTTTGGCACCTCTAGTTCTTATCAACGTGCCTCCCTTCCCACTGTTTGTCTTCTCATTCCTAGGCCCATATTTTACTACCCCAAATTCTTTCCCCCTCCCTTACAATTTATGGCAGGATGCCAGCGAAGCAAAGAAGCTGGAGATGGCAGACCTGACAGACTTAGGTTTCTAATTTGCCATCATTTTGTACACTGATGAGGATAGCCAGGAAGGGTAATGTGTTATTATTTTCTTCTTCCCTTATGAATTTTGTTCCTTTGAATGTGTTGTTAATTATCTCATAATTTTGTTAATTATCTCAAAATTATCTCCATAATTTTGTTGTATGGCTATATGTATATTATACATATTATTTGCTCTGTGCTAGATTGAATTATTTTGTCCCTTTAATCTAGCATTCTTTTCTTTTGACTATCAATGTTCACCATAATGACGGGTGAATGTTCCTATCAACTTGGGAAGGTTGAGTCAACTGGGATTGAATTAAAGGCATTCCACACATAGTTCACACCCGATGACCGTAATGGAGTTTGGCCATTAGGGACATAATTTGTGACAATCATAAAGTGGGTCACCCATGTGACTGACTTGATTTTACAATTTTTGCAGTGGTTATTAGTGAATACTATAGTTGTTAAGTAAGCCGATTGTTTGTTATGGATGAGTTTTGTTGAAAACCAGAAATAAATGCTGGTTTTCAGCAACAACAACATAAAACACAATCATATGACTGTGGGACATTGCAAATGGCCATAAATGTGGGTAGGTTTCCAGGTACTGGAAATGTGGTTATATAAATGTGGGGGGGGGGTTGGCCATTAGGTTGTAAGTATCCCAGGGGAGATCCAGCTTAACTTCAAATGGTCCCTAAGTGACCAGTCATAAGTCAAGGACTAACTATACAAACAATGAGTCTTCTATTGCACAGATATCCAAAGACTGCTGTAAATTTGCACTGAAATAATTGAGGACCTAATCCTTGAGGGAAAACTAAAGTTTCGTATCCTCTAAAGCAGTGATGGCGAACCTTTTAGAGACCGAGTGCCCAAACTGCAACCCAAAACCCACTTATGCATTGTCGGGTGCCAGGTGGGTGTGGCCAATTGGGTGGGCATGGCTCATTGGGTGGATGTAGCCCATTGGGTCGGCATGGCTGCGGTGGTAACAGCAGACTGGATGGGACTAAAAATTTCAATTAATCAATTCCAACTTTGCAAGATCTTTTTTTTTTCCACGAGAAGTTGAAATTGACTGATTGATTGAACCTCTTTTTTTTTACACACAGCGGCGGAGACCTAAAGCAAAAAGGTTTTATAAAACCCAGCTGAAGGCCTAGGACTGGGGGGATGGCACGCGTGCCCACAGAGAACGCTCTGAGTGCCGCCTCTGGCACCCGTGCCATAGGTTCGCCACCACTGCTCTAAAGTAATTGAAATGCTGCAATGCATCTGTCATGGTTCCAACAGATGAAACTCTTCAAAAAAACTTCGAAGCATTGTTTACTTTAAAGAATCTTTATTTTGAGTAGCATAACATTGGCAGTGCATAATTGAAGCCAAAAACTGAATTCCCCTCCCCTGAGCACATAGTATCAAAGCACAATTCCCTCCTTCAATTGACAGTCATAAATCACATTTCCCAATGAGCTTGAAGTGCAGGCCTCCTCTCCAATTCTCCAGTCCACAAATTCCTTATCAGCTCTGGTTACAATAACCTTGTTTCTCATGCTAGGTCTAGTGTTGTTATGTCTAGGTGGACTCTCGTTCACATCCCCCCTCCCAGCATCATCTAACTCTAAAAGCAAAAGGTAAACAATGGCTACATTTCCCTTTGTTTTCAATGCAAAAATATCTGATGTTAGCAGCGTTGACATAATCATCATCACTTCTATCACTATACAAATATTTAATTCACATAAAACTTTCCTTAGATATTAAAATGCATTATCGCCAATCTCCAATACTTTTCTTAAAGGATAAACTTGATAAAACTACACAGTACAGTTTACTAGTCACTCATGCATTTGTGAAACATATTTGAAAGTAACATAGACAGGCCATCATTCCATCAATCAAATGCTCCATCATTGCTATTTGCCCTTGGTAGCTATGTTCCTATCAAGATTATGTTCAGAAGCAGTACTTTAACTGTATGTATATTATTGCTTTCAAATTTGGTAAAGGAACACAGACCTACGGTATTTGTATTAAAATGATATTTGAAACAGCTTGCATTGTCTTTGGCATCAGTAAACATTCTAATGGGAAATTATGAATAAGAATTCTGCACTGGAAATTTAGAGTATTGCACATCACAACACTATTGCAATTTTATCTAAAACAGTTTCCTATTTACATAATGTGGGATGTAGTTGAAATGCGTGGGACAAAATTGATTGTGTGTGTGAGTGTGTGCTGTAACTTCCCACTCATTTTTATTGTGGTAAAAACAAATGTAGATGATGCCATCTGCTTAACTCAATATTATGATTGAATTCAGTACTGTGACTGGTGATTGAGTCAATAATACACATTTTCTGAAAAATACATACAGTACAAAGAAGCACTTTTGAAGATTCAAAAGCAAAATATAAAAAGATAAATACTGACTATATACCTATCTCTGGGAAAAGATACTGTAGTTTTATAATATATACCTGATGCTTCCAGAGAACACTTTCATTCTATTGATGTTCTGTTGCCTCTAAAAGGATGGTAGTCTTCTAAGTGTAAACCTCCTATGCTTTCTATCTTATTTTTTATTATTATCCATCTTACTTTGAAAAACCCAGACATATTGTGTTAGTACAACTATCAAGAACAGCCAGTCATCTGAAAGTACTGATATAAAAGAAATTCACACATGCATTACACTTCATTTGCCCTTTGTCTCTTGTTAAGTGTCTCCACAGCACTTATCTAGATAGATGTATGCTATAATGACCACCTCCGACTTCTCTCTTTTTCTTGTCCCACAACACAGTAGTCGGGTGTCCCCTAATGGTCGTCGAGGATTGTTAACCTAAACTCCTTGGAAGGGTGTGGAATCGATGTCTGGAGAATCACGTCTACGATTCACGAGTCTCAAGACCAGAAGAATTAGCACTCAGTAGGACGACCGACCCGGGTCCTCTTGTCCACGTCATTTTACATGTATTGGAAGTTCATTACCACAATGTGTATTTCATGTATATGATTGCTGCACAGCATCACCAGCACTGCATTATCAGCATCGCCAACACCACATTTTCAAGAGCATTATTCCAGATGCCAGTTACGTTTCTTTAAGTTATGTTTCTTTGAATATAACAACTCATATCAGTTCCAATGTATTTTGAGGCTATTCCTTCATACTGTTCAGGGCTGTAGATGTTAAGAACTGATACACAATATATCTGAGAGATGAGGCTGTGGAAAGGTACTTCAGCTTCAGGTCTAATTGTTTATTCATTTATTGACTCATTTTTCCAATGTCTGGGATACCGCACAAATAACAAAATTGAAACATCTAATAAAAACTTAAAATCCCATTTAAAAACAACATAACACAGGCTAT